ACTGTTTGGGCGTAAAAATTTCCACCCCCAAGAAGGGGTGGGAACCACCCCCAGGGCAAAAGGCACTATATAAGTTTCGTTCCTTGAGGCATTCCCCACATACAGTCAATATTTCACGTCAATCGGTTCAGTTATAAAGAATTCGGAGGTAAAAACCCTGAGAAACTGGATTAAAAGCTTGTAAATAAAACCTATATTATACATTGCTGTCGAAAATAATAATATCACATTTTTCTAAGTATGTCGGGAGAAAAGTCAATGTGTGACAGACTAGAACTAGACCATCACACCCATACATTTTTGGGGTAGCTCATGTTTAAGATTATTTGAAGGTCGACTATTGATTTTAGCAACTTGAGGAGTTTGAAATGTCAAATGAACTTGACAATGAAAAAATAATTCAACCATATCTCCGAACGTATATGTATGGTGGTCTAGTCTATTACACATTGATTTTTTCCCGTGGGACATTGACATTTTGTAGGTTTCAAAGGGACCTTGGAGAACGGATATACTGGCCAACGTTTATACTTGCGTCGTCAGTATTACTATTTGAAACAAGCTTGTTGATATTTTACCTAAGTGTAAGTTTTCGCGTCTTATTTTTACGTCACTCATACCATTCAAAAGATTCTCTTGACACCCTGATCAAGCGAAATTATATACCTTTCAATTTCAAGGAAAATATATCGACTCGAAATTTTGCACTGGTTCTATTCAATTTTCTTCGTTTCAGAATGTTTGTCCCTCCAGCAACTACAGAATCCTGTATTCTTTTGCAGTAACTATCCTACAACACGTAGTATTTGGCTTTGTAGGTGAAACTGTGGTGGAAGAGGTGCGTCTTTTTATATTTATATTTTGTTTCGCTTTCTTTCTCAACAAAATTAATGGTTTGTAGTCCGAGAGACTGTACGTGGCGATTAAGTGTTGCAACTGGTACAACTGGGATAAGAAAAACTGTCGATTACTGGAAATATTCTTAAATCACACTCAGGAGCCGATGGCGTTTACATCTTCGGGGATTATCGGTGTGAGCAAGGAGCTCATAGCTAAGGTATTTTCAAGTACGCAGGGTGATTCTTAACCTATGCATATAGACTTGTGAGGTTATGTAAATAATACTGGGGATCGACGGTTGTCTGATCTGAATCATAATCATAACCAGATAAAGAAAAGTTATTTTCTTAATTTAATCGTTTGTCGATTGGTTCTTCGATTGACTAGGAGAAGGTAAGGTAGTCGGATTTTTGTAATTTTTGATATTTATGGTACGTGTAGTTTGGACCTTGAATAAGAATTTTCCGAAGTAGTTCGACGCAACGTTCATAAATTACCGAGATAATCGATTTTGAAGTTTTACCTGTCAATTAAATTCACTAGATGTGACAAAAAATTCAACTGGGAGCCCAATTGGTAGTGTTCGGGACTTGGAGTTACGAGATCGCTGGTTCGAGTCCGTCGTGTAACATATTTTTTTTTTTTTTTCAAAACGCACCATATGGTTTTTTATTATTTTTTTCCTCTCGAAAATTATGAACAAACGAAATATAATAAATACTTATGTATATGTAGGAATATTCTTCAAATATTTCATTAAAATGCACAATTGGTTGATAAACAATACTTATTTATTATGAATTAACAATAAGATTTCATTAAAAAAAAAAAACAAACGAGGTCAGGTAGGATGTTCTTTTATTTTATATTTATATTAGTATTTGAGATTTTATGCAGTGTGGTACGAGCCAAAATTGTAGCTATCATAAAAAAATGGGAAACAGAAATTTTTTAAGCATCTAGCTTCCTTTCTTTTTCTTTTTCTGATCTCGAAAATTATGAACAAACGAAATATTATGATAACTGTATGTAGGAATATTCTTCAAGTGTTTAATTAACATTTTGAGCTAGATTCTGTGGGTCGTCCACCGTGTTTAAAAAAACCGCTTACAGAACACAGTGCTCGGGAATAAAAAGTTTCGTTAAATTCCACAAAAGGTAGAGAAGCATCGAAACTATGTGATGAAAGAACAATTTTTCAAAATATTAACGAAATTTGCTTCAACGTCGATATTTTGAAAACAAAATGCGTCTGTGAAAACATAACATTTACACGACATGCTAGATGCTTAAAAAATGCCTGTTTCCCATGTTTCTATGATAATTATCATTCTGGCTTATACTACACTGCGTAAAATGTCAAATACTAAAAATAAAATAAAAAACCTACCTGACCTCGTTTGTTTTTTTTTAAAGAAACTTTATTGTTAATTCATAATAAATATTGTTTATCAACCAAGTGTGCATTTTAATTAAATATTTGACATAAGTATTTATTATAATATTTCGTTTGTTCATAATTTTCGAGATGAAAAAAATAATAAAAAACCATATGGTGCGTTTTGAAAAAAAAAAATATATGTCACGCGACGGATTCGAACCAGCGATCTCGCGACTGTCAGTCCCGAACGTTACCAATTAGGCCACGCTCTCAGTTGGAAAATGTGTCACATCTAGTGGATTTAGCTGACAGGTAAAACTTCAAAATCGATTATCTCGGTAATTTTTAAACGTTGCGTCGAACTACTTCGGAAAATTCTTATTCAAGGTCCAAACTACACGTACTATAAATGTCAAAAATTATAAAAATCCGACCTTACCTTCTCCTTGTGAGATCGGAAAGACTATACCTAAGTTATCATTTCACAATTTTACGGATATATGTCGGGAAAAAAATCACCTCGTATATTTTTTCTCGTTGTTCTGTTTTACAAATAAAATTCCAAGTAGTTTAAGGTTATTTTATTTTAAATCTTTCAGTCCTTCAAAGTACTTTACTCTGCCATAACATTCTATCACAGCATGTCCAACAACAGGTCCATGAAACAGTGAGAAACTTCGCAGTTCTTCGTTCACCGTAGTTAAGGAGGTACATCGGGTTTACTAAAATGCACAGATGTACTTGAAATTTATATAGCGTATTACTCAGTGCTCCCTCTGTGCGTCATATTTTTTTTAAAATTTTTTTGAATGTAGATTTTCAGGTATTGTTGTTGAAAGTTGTTCATTTTAACATAGGTTTATATGGCGAAGATGGACGGTGCGGCTCTTTTTTTGCCCATAACAGAAAAAATGTAGAAATTGTGGAACAAAAACTTCTCCATAGACAGTACACAGTATTATCTTATTTTTGATGTAAAACTAACGTAAGTTTTGAACATAGTACAGCTGTATTAATTAGAAACAGAAACCAATAATTGCATTTATGTCTGATTTGAGGATTAATGTGACAACGTCGCAATCAGCTGACAACAAGGAGGGAATACATTTGAAAGACCTGATAAAAACGAAATTGATTTCAAACATATACATTTTTCCTAAATTCCATGTACACTGTTATCAACAATAAATTATCCACAACAGATTATTTTTTGTAATGTTTTAAAAAAAACTAAATTAATTAAAAAAGGCTAGGAAGCGGTGATATAGGTATTTATTGGAATAAAAATACAGTTGATAAATCCTTTTAATATATTTAGTGGTTTATAAAAACATCGTAATCTGTACCCAATATTTAGCGTTACATAAAGTTTTTTTTACTTGATTAATATAATTAGTAATACTTGAGATAAAAGCATTTGTACGGAATAACAAAGGAACATAAATATTTCTCAGGAAACTTTATATCTAAAAAATTAGTTATAGTTGCAAAACTTTTGTAACATTACTAAAATAGAGATGAAAAACAAGAACAGTGAGTAATAATGTAATTTATATCACAGAACCTTCAAAATTGCATCCAACATTTTCTTTGACTTGGACGAGAGATGAGCGCGAGTGTCATTTCATTTCTTTAGAGCTAAATTAACATACTTATTTTCTCGTTGTTTTACCAGTTCACTTGATTTACGGATTTTAAATAAAGGATAGAAGATAGATCTTCGCGAGGATAATACGACACATTTGTTATATATAATAATTATATTTTACATAGTTTACACACAATACATTTTTGAACGCGTACGTATCTTTACCCGAATTTGACGCGGAATATCTCCGATGTCCGAGGTCTGTAGGTTCGCAGTGTGTACAACTGCACTCGATTATTATCGCTGTTGCCACATCTACATAGTGTTTATACGTTCATTAAATCTAATTTAAAACTACTTAAATATGATATTTTTATGTTGTTAATTTTCAATATGTATGTTATGTGCATATTGAGTAGATTTCTTTGCTATATAGGTAATGTTTAACGCAAATAATTTCAATAGAATTTAATTTTTTCAAGTTGGCAGCGAGTTTTAGTCCCATAAGAAAAGCAAGGGACTCTCCCTGCGATCCTCACTTCCCTCGGACCCCGATATGTCTCCTTAAATGTGGTTACTTTCTTTTTATAATATATTTATGCACAAAGGTAACACACTCAAATACTTCTCTTCTGGATCTTTCAGAATCTGGATTCAGAAATTGTAATACCATCAAAAATTGTAATTATAATGAGTGTTTGATTACCATCTAATTTACAGATGAGTAAATTTAATATTTCTTCGTGTGCATTGTATCTGTCTATCTGTTTGTTTACCACAGTTTGAATAGTTTCTAATAAAACTATTTTAAAATTTTATTGTTTTGTTTTCCTTCCTTGAAGCTTGGGACATCCCTGTTATATTAAAATAACCACTTGCAGCATATTGAGGCGTATTTCCAATTTTTTTAGTTATCCAAAAAAAAAAATAAACAAATAACCATAATCAAGAAAAAGCGTTACACTGTTGTCGTTGCGTAAATAAAAAGTACATTTAGACAGACGTATTTCATTAACCCCCACGAAATCGCAACAAGAAGACAGCGATAAAACCATCTGACATTTGGGATCTCGCCCACCCCTCCTTTCCAGCGCGTGCTGCGATGCACGGTTACCAGGGCGCCGTTGCGCTTTGTTTCGCGGTGCAGCCTCTCCTGAAAGCTGCGAGCCCGAAAGTCTGCCAGGCTTTCCAGTTTCCAGGCAGTCCTGCCCATCGGACGTTTCTCGCCGTCGAGATTCCACTCGCCGTCTTTTTTCCTTTCGTCCATCGACACGTAATCGCAGAACAGGCTATAAATATGAAGTGCACCTCCCATTTTATAAATTTGAAACTTTTAAGATTAATTAGTCTTTAAGTGTACACAAAATACGACAGGTAAGTCCTCAAAATGTTACCGTCTCCTTTTTTGTCCTTTTTAGAGTAATCTCTGCAGTTTTTTACCACTTCTGATAAGATTTTATCAAATTTTATTGCTTAAAATTATTGTTTCATCTATTTTAGAAGCATGCTAAACTCTCACTCAAATAAATGTATATAGTTTTACACAAATCCCTGTTGCAAAGACCACAGAAATATATACACTTGCTAATTACCCATTTTCAAAAATCAGAACTGTTAAAACTTATTGGGAACCTCTGGAATCGTTCGCGAGCTACATGCTACATAAAAAGAGGTGTCGCAGATAACACGACAGGCCATGCAACAATTTTTTTAATTGTGTAATTATTTCACATCTCGCTGAAATGTCTTCTCATGTTTTGATAATTTCCAAGGCAAGCTTGATGACAACAGCCAGAGAGGAAGACCTCAAATGGGCAAACCCGGGGAAGCACTTTCGCGTTTCGGATTACTTTGGGGGATCTCGGCCCTGACTGCACTCTTGGTGGCCTTCGTCAGCGGCTCCTGGTTGTACACGGACGAGCCCATTTCGCTGCCCAATTCAACACGACTCTCCTTTTCCATCGGCATCACTGTAGGACTATGGACCGTGTGCCCTTACGTGAAGAAGATAAACACTACAATACGTAAGTATTTGTAGTGCTTTTATTAGTAGTAGGCGCTTGTTTCTTAGGTTCAGTTGTTTCGTTGGTCACTTGTTTATTATTTTGATTGAAATATGAAATTATATATTTTTTAAATGCTTGTAACTTGTAAACAAAAACCAATCGGACCTATGTTCATATAAGAAAAAATGCTTGAAATTAAGCCAGCTACCATCTGTCAATGTATGTCACAGAGCTTATAGAACATCCCGTATATCTGTAGTTAAAAAGTGGCTTGTAAACATTTATGAAGACTCTTAGATTAAATTGAGTTTCATTTTCTGATCTTAGTAACTAATTAAAAGATTTAAATTCCATTTAATATACATATTTTCTTTATACCAATAAATTTGCAATTTAAATTAATAACCAAGTGAATTATTTATTGGCAGCACATTTGAGGAAATGACTGATTAATGATATCAGTCACAAAGTAAACAATTTTTATCAGAACTATGTTTATTACTGCTGATACTGCGGATCAATTATTTTTAATCGTTATATTAACTACAATAAATATATGTTAAGGTAAAAAATTTCAACGCGTGAGCTGCAATAAAGAAATAAAAGAACAATAGTACAAAATATATATATTTTAAACGAAACAATAAAATATCAGCACTAATATTATTGTCTATGTCTATTAAACAAACAATTTCACAAGGGCAATCCCTATGAAGGCAACTGTGGAGAAATGCACCGTCGCCCTACTATTGTCATTATTACACAGATCGGAGTCACATGTTTGGCAAGAAAAGTCCCTTGAATACATGTTAGTTATATCTGCCCCAGATAGGTAGGAACAAATATCTACACCCTCAATTTGCCTGCTTTGGCATTCTCTGATCGTCACAAAATTATTAACTGCAAAGTAATACGTTTTCAAACATATTTCACTAAACGTTTTAAATACTTACGGTTGCTAGTATAGGTTGAGGTCGTGCACACGTATGTGCCCTGTGTAGTTGAAGTACTCGCGATTTCTTTGGCAGTACCTACGTCAGTTGTCACAGTGGAATTTCCACAGTACTGGACTCGAATCCCGCTCTCGTCCAAAGGACTGTTACAGGCAGTTCCATCGGCATCTGTAGTGCAATAATAACAAATGGAGGGTTCTGCGCTGGTCGAAGCTGAAAGACATCCACATTACTTTCTTGTTTTAATGATCACTAAAGACGAATAGTATAACTTACCTAAGACGCACCATAGAGAAAGACAACCAATAAATTCCTTGTAAAACTTCATGGTTTCTGTATCCCGTTGTAGGTCACAACACGCACAGACGACAAACTCGGGATAAATGTACCTTCCAATTTGTAACTGACAAGGTTTGCGTTTTATCTTCTTATCGAAATGATAAAGCGATGAGCAATTTTAAGACCAAACTTATCTCCAGAGATAAAATATGCATATCCCATGGTGAAACAAACGTCGGTTTTTGTCGGTATCTGATTCATACACAGAAACAGAATGACGTCATCGTCACTTTTTTAATATGTCCTATTGGAATTTACAAACTGTTATTATTATTTATGTATTAAATTGTGAAAATTAAATCCTGCTTTTTAATACTTGCAGATTTTACATCTCCCACTTGTTCCTTGGTAAAATATAAGAAGTGGGACTATGATTTTTCAGACTTCGAGGTTTCTGGCGCTTTGGATCTGGCGCAACTCATAGTATCAAGAATAAGGTAAGTCTGGTAATATCTGTAATATAAAAACTTGCATGGGATATTTAATAAAGTACGAATGGTAGAAGAATATTTTTTAAGATCCTCTGACCTACCACAGTAATATGTAGAAACATTTTGGGAACCACTGGCTTCACTGACAGCTCGGCTGGCTGTATACACAATGATTACACAAATAAACTAAACATATCTAAGAGTGTATTTAGTAAAACTACTTTTATATTTACAGATCATGTACTTTACTTTGCGGAACAGCCATAATATTGATTATCACGGCGGTCATTCTAGCCGTTTTGGGATATATCAACAATGATAGGAAGATCGTTATAGCTTGCGGAGTTTTCATTCTTGGAGGTAAGTCATCACAAAGGTCCAACTGAACAACTCAATTTTTGTAACATTGCTCGTTATTCTTTTTCGCGGTTTTTCAAGGTTTGTCGATCGGTACCAGCCTGGTAATCTTTGTGACCTACCTTACGGAGACGTTAATAGAAGTGTCACACACCGACAAGGGACTGCACTTCGTGTACCATTACGGGTGGTGTTTCTATTTGGCCAGCACAGCGTTCCTTTTGACCAACGCAGCTGGTTTGTTCTCCATCATGGGATATATGAACACATTCTCCAACGTCGATGAAATGGTAAGGTGAACAACGTTCAGTTTGAAGAAGTAACTGCGTAATCCTGAATGATTATCCTCCGTAGGTCAAACAGATGGTTCCAGGAGGAAAGAGAAAGCTCCAGCAGTACCCATACAAGAGCACCCTAGTGAAACACGAGTACCAGCAGTACGATTTACTTTCTAGTAGTCGATTGAAGATGGAATCTGATTACGGTGCTGTCACCACTGATACTCCACCAGATGTGTGTTCCACAAGTCACTGTCCGCTACCGACAAAAGGAGACTACAGTCTCTCTACTCTACCAGAGGAAGGTTTCAACGAAGGGCCCATTTTGGCTGGACAAACTGTACCAATAACCATTAAAAGCCAAAGCACATCAATGGGATTTTCTAGTTTACCCGTTACGAAATACGAAACGGTGTGTCAGGGGTATTGTGAAGTTGCAGAGATTGAAGAACCCGCTTGTAGTACTTACTATGACGAAGATTATACCGGTCAGGGTCCACAAAAAGGTAAAGGTATACTCAATTTTAGTAATAAAAGGCCTAACACACATTCTTTTGGAAGTGCAGTGTGATAATTGTAAACAACGACAGCGATACGGATTAATTTTTATTTTAAAGACTAACAGACGTATTTTAATGTTACTTTTGTTTTTATGTCATATCTAAATTGATTTAATGATAAAAATAAAGAACTGATTTTTTAAAGAATATACATAGTTTTAATAAACATAGACGCCGTAAGTGTTTCATATACGTTTTATTTATTATCAGAGTATTCTTGAGGAGATTATTTTAATTCAACCCCAATGCCTTAACAACAAATAAAGAGAATACTTCTTTGGTTTGACTAAATAGTTTTTCCCCCTCGGTTAATTTCCTTTCTGCTGGTAGAGCCGGAACAGTTACACAGAACATCTGTGGTGGGCCTTTCTCTGCGTTGGTTGTATTTGTCACAGCTGTTGTATTCGTCGACAATGTAGGGTTTGCGTTGGTTGTAGCTGTAGAATTTGTAGTATTTGAAACTGAATCAATCAAAGTTAATTTTCCACATTTTTCAATGCAATTCACGGGAAATGGTAGTTTACGTTGTAAACTTTATTTTGCGAAAAATTCAAGTCATAATATTTATAAACAATTGCGATACGATTTAAAAAAAAATTCTTATCTTGCCTCCTGTTGGTCGTAAAGGGTACTTTTTTAATTTTAAAACCGTATTTTTTTGCCAGCTATCCATTGCATCTATTTTCGGTGAGGTAGCATAAATAGCAACAATTTTATTAAAATTGTTTATAAGCGGAAAACGCACGGTTTTTTAATGCACAATTTGAGAATGTTAGTGTCAAAAAACGGTGATATTTTTTAATAGGTCGCTTAATTACGTCTTTAAGATTACAATGACGCTTTCAGAATCATTTTTGGTTGAAAATTAACGCCAGAGGCTTAAAGTTCATAACTTTTGGAGCCTCTGTTATAAACAAATTGAATTGTGCGAAAACTATTGCACCTACAGCGCCCACTTTTGGCACACTTTTAAAGTATGACAAAACCCTCAACTTGTCATAGGTCTTGTAAAATTTTAACAATAAATGCGATAGTTATAAACAAATTAAAAAATGGGCACTTTTCTTGTTTTTTGCAATAACTTTTTTGTTTATTAACCGATTTTAATTTAACAAGTCTCATTTTGTAGATAATTTTACTCCCTACAAGCTGTTCGCTAAAATTGATGGTTTTCCCTGCAAAGTGAAAAAATTGTTTTCCTCACTTATTTGTTTAAATAGAAAAGTTAGCTAATAAAAGTTTTTGACTCACGAGATGTCTTGTATTATGTTCCTTTAGACAATTTTACAAAAATTTCGCGGATAGGTCTTTTTTCGAGTAAAAATTTAATTTGCTTGGTCTATACCTACTTATCTGTATTTTATATTTCACGATTTTCTGGCAGAATTTAACAAGCAACGTAGCGCGCCTCGAATCAGCAGATATTTGGCAACACTGTGAGAAATTATTCACTTCGTGACCAGCAACTAGTGCGGAAATATTTGTCTTGAAATGTGGACGATAGAAAATTGTATTTAAATATTATAATTATTATATTAATTGAAAAAAAGCCATACCTCATCAGGGATCGAACCCCGAACCTTCAGATTAGTAGGACAACGCGTAACGCTTTAAGCCACGAGACCACGTTTATTCAGTTTCGAAAACCTGTCTTATATAATTAACGTTGTGCCTCTTGTGATATAAACAATAATTATAATGAATATATTGGCAGACGGCTGGATACCAGTAATAATATTATTGGCATACTTTGAAGAATTATCAAAAACAATAAAAAATAGATTGTTGCATATTTAAAAAAGACCTATTTATCTGTCAGTTTAGAGAAAGTATAGTGTTGTAGTAAAATATTTTCCATGGTAATGATTTATACATTCGTGAAAAAACTGTTTTTCTCACTCATTTGTTTAAATAGAAAAGTTAGCTAATAAAAGTTTTTGACTCACGAGACGAGAGATGTCTTGTATTATGTTCCTTTATACAATTTTTTTTTCGAGTAAAAATTTTATTTGCTTGGCCTAAAGTGAAATGTAGAAATGTAGAAAATAAACCATGCGATTTAAAACACGTTATTTATAGAAAAATATTTATTTAAGAAAATATCAACAGTATCACCTGCAAAATGTATTTTTAAAACTTAAAAACAATATAAAAAAAGTATATACACTTGTTTCAATCTATCCCCAACGCATTAACAGCGAATGAAGCGAAAACTTCTTTGGTTTGACTAAATAGTTTTTCCCCCTCGGTTAATTTTCTTTCCGCTGGCAGAGCCAGAATAGTTACACAGAACATCTGTGGTGGGCCTTTCTCTGCGTTGTTTTTATTTGCTACAACGGTTGTATTCGTCGATAGTGGAGAATTTGTAGTATTTGTAGCTATAGAGTTAGTATTATTTGAAACTAAGTCCACAGAAGTCACATTTGTAGTAGTATTTGATATAGTTTTATTACTAGCAGTCGCATTAGAAATAACGATGCTGTTGTTCACAAAACTAATGCTTCCATAAACTTTGGCCGTAGAAATGCAAGGTATTGTGATAGAAGCTGTACTCCCAGAAGACCGCTTGCATTCAGTACTGTTGTTGTCTTTGCATGGTATGCTACTCGTTACGCAGTTTGTTTGTTTCTCATTGGTACAAGGGACTGTGGCAGTAACACTTGCAACGCACATCACAGTTCCGTTATTGGTGCAGAGGGACGTTGTATTCGCCGGACAGAAAGTGCCGCTGTCTGCAGCACAAGCGACGATCGCATTGGGCTCGATGGTGGCTTCTTTTTGAACCGTATCTCCGTTGTGATAGTAATGATGGACGGTATAGTGATCGTACCTCGGGGTGTAGCCATACCCATCGTAGTAACTATTGTGATAGTGGAGACTGGGGATAGTCACTTTCGCCAGCGAGTGGCCCAAGAAGAATCCTAGGGCTGTTTTGTCGGTGTCATGGGTGGTGTATGCTCTTTGCCCTCCGTCATCACCACCGTAGTGATTATTTATATTGTTGTTAATAACTGTGACTCCACTTCTTTGGGAATGAGATCCTACTTGGTGATGATAGTTGTCGGGGGTATAAGGTAGAGATGGTCCATATGCTGTTGGACTTTGGGGAAGGCCCATGGAACTGTACGATAGGGGCGATTCGTCTACGGCGGAATTGTAATGTGGGAGTAGCTTTTCTCCTGTTGAATTGAAATGTGGGAGTGTTTTTTCTCCTGAGGTGTTGTGATGCGGGAGTGGTTTTTCTTTCGTGGAATTGAAATGTGGAAGTGGCTTTTCTCCTGTGGAACTGAAATGTGGAAGTGGTTTTTCTCCTGTGGAATTGAAATTAAGGTGTGGTTTTTCTTCTGTGGAATTGAAATTAGATAGTGGCTTTTCTCCTGTGGAATTGAAATGTAGAAGTGGTTTTCCTCCTGTGGAATTAAAATTAAGATGTGGTTTTTCTTCTGTGGAATTGAAATGTGGGACTGATTTTTCTCTTGTGGAATTAAAATTAAAGTGTGGTTTTTCTTCTGTGGAATTGAAATTAGAGAGTGGCTTTTCTCTTGTGGAATTGAAATGTGGGAGTGGTTTTTCTCCTGTGGAATTAAAATTAAGGTGTGGTTTTTCTTCTGTGGAATTGAAATGTGGGAGTGGTTTTTGTCCTGAGGAGTTTTCTCCTGTGGAATTGATATGCGGAACTGGTTTATTTCCTGCTGAGTTGTAATGTGGTGCTGGTTTATCTCCTGCGGAGTAGTCATATGGCACTAGTTTTTCCCTAGTAGAGTTGAAACGTACGATCGGTTTTTCTCTTGTGGAATTGTATTGTGGGACTGGTTTTTCTCCTGGGTAATGGAAATGAGGGAGTGGTTTTTCTTCTGATGAGTTGGAATGCGGAAGTGGTTTGTCTCCTGTGGCATTATAATTTATGGGTGGTGGTGCGTTCCCTGTGTTGATGGATTGTGGGGGACGATTTCTTACATAACTTCCTGTAATAAGAATAAGTTTTTTAGTTACTTAAAATTGGACGTCTTTATTTTATCATTAAATGCGGTTAATAACAATCAGGGTGAATGTTGTGACCTTGCCTATATTTGTCAGATTTTCTTAAACCTATCTATTATTGCAGCGGTATAGTATCTGGTAAACTTTTTCTGAATGATGTGTGACAACTTGTCATTTATCTCGGTCTTTGACAAAAATTTAAGAGAAAAATGTGCAAAATACTCGTTCAAATGAATTGGATGTAAGCCAAAATGCGAAATGAAATAATACTTTTTTACAAATGAAATCTAACATTTTGTTAGCTTTCGTGGAAACATATTTGACAGTATAGAAGATTTTGTTGTTCTCTTAAAACTATATAGCTGTTACATTATAATCTGTTTAAATACTATTTGCTTACCTGGACTAAATGGTGGTGGTTTTTTGTCCAGAGGGCTGAGTCTTGGTGTTTCATGGCCTGCGGCTAATCCAAGGGGTCTTACTTTTCCAATATTCCCTGTAGATAGAAAATCCTTTATACAAAAATAAAATGTCTATTAAATAATATCAATAAATGGATAGCCTTAAACATATATCTATTTTGCATTTGAGTGCAATACTAAATATTATTTAATACATGGAGGATTGTCCAATAAACTACTGTGTATCAATAACAAAACTGGTGGATCTTACTACTCCCGAACATAAAAAGTTTCAGTTTTACTCATATAATTTCAACTTTATTTTTTTTGTATGATCACATGGTCAAGTAGGGTTATCTTAGTTTGTTGTCTGTCCATAGTTCTCTGGAAGTTTGAAGGATATTTCTTAGACCGAAAGGCATTCTAAAGTATTCAAAATAACCCGCAACAAATGGTCTCGTCAACGTTTTTTTCTCGAATTTCATGTGACAAACAAATAAAGATTACACTTCGTGGTTTTATCAGGAGAAATAGAACACTAAAAAAAATTACGACAAAGCGACAAGCACTAGTAACAGATGTGGTATCTGTAAACTATGCAATTAAATATTTATCATCTTTGCGCGTAACTACTAGTACTATAAAACTAAGTATTATTTTCTATAATACCTGAACTATATGGTGGTGGCTTTTTATCCAGAGGAGAACTTAGTGGTCCATTGCCCAAATGAAACCCACGTTTGGGTGGCTGATGGTTCGTGGCAAAATCGATACGTTTTTCCGTTTCCCTAGTGTCTGTGAATATATCATGTTAAAAAAGAACATTTGTATTGTCTCTGTTGTACCTGAGTCGGATCGCGGTGGGGGTCCAATAGGTTTAAATGGATTAGCACGACCTACAGAACCTGGACGTCTCACATTTCCTCTCGCGTTAGTAAAACCAGGCGATGGTTTATAAGAGACGTGATACGTCGGACGTGATATTATAGAAGTATGGTGAATTGCTGGAGGCTTGTATGACGATCGAGCTGTAAAAAATTAAAAAGCTTTGAAGTGACAGTAATTATTGGATATTTTTTAAATCTTCAGCAAAGTGTAGAACAATATGTTGGTTATTTTCTAGTAAGTCGGCTCTAGATAAACACCAATGGTATAATAAAGGAAACTAGAATGATCAACTTAGGTATTGTTAGTGTTAGTGAGGATTTGAGGCACAAAAAGATTATTTAAAAATTATGGTTTATTTCAAGGTAAACTTCTACACTGAATCTGTTAAAAAATAAAGAAAACGAATATAATCCCGCCTAAGTTCAGCAGTTATGTGTATTTCATTGCAATAATTTAAAGTATCAGTTATTTTATAGTGAATTATAGTATTAATTTAAGTAAAAATAGTTATTATATTCTTCAATCTAGCATACTCATAATTGATAGTCTCAAATAATTATCATCATTAAAATCAGGCTTTTGCTTGTGGAAAAGCTGATAGAGAAAATTTAATGATAACGCTGAAAACAATTATGCAGAAATGATAAATTAAATCAAGGTCATAAATATTTACATCAGTCGTTTAAATGGAAATATATCTTTATATTAAGAAAAGCAGTCGTAGAGCTAATCTAACTTATTTGCGTGATTCAACTTCTACACAATTTTTTTATGCAACTTTCTGCATATCGCGCATTCGTTTCTGTACATTATATTCAACAAAACTTGTAAAAGTACTCACAACTGGATATGCTTGCCCGGCCTCCGGCGTACCTTCCACATTCTGTGACATGAACTGTTACAAGTAGAAAAATATTAAAAACGATTGAACTATTCACCATCATCAACAGCGTAAAACACTAAACACAAGAACTAGTTACCATACTAGTTACTTAGATAACTATCTCATTATTGTTGGCTGTAAACCCAGTGAAGCTTCAAGAAGTAACATCTCTTGCCAGCTCTCGACAGCGAACTGCTTTAACAATAAAAGCGGCATTTTAAAATCAATTTAGTGGAAGTGGTTGAATCAGTATAATTCCTACGTCATATTATATTAAATATACAGGAATTCATACAATCAAATACGTCTTTCATAATCCCGTTTGCGTTAATTTAGGGAATTAAATACAAATGGTATACCACGTATTAACATATATTCAAAAAATAAAGTGTTTGTTTCGTTGGCAAAATGTACTGTAAATATGGTTGTATTAAATTATACAGGGTGTCCCTGAAAAGGATGGACAACGCTTGACCACAGGTTCCTTGGATGAAAATAAGACTATTTAGCCTAACTTACCTATATACAAAAGTGCACGCCTACTGAGGTACAGCCTTCTAAATATAGACCAGATAACCTAGTTTTTTTCAAATAATTTGAAAACTGTTTTTCTTAGGAACTTCAAATTTGGTACACTTATTTTTTTATATAAGGACAAGGTAAATATAGAATTTGGAGAGAATACATATATAGGATGTTCTATTTCTAGTGTCTGTGCGCCACTGCCTATCCCGTAACTTTTTTGTGTGTCCGCCAATGACGACAGAATTTATATTTTTAAAAATAAGCACTATTTTAGAATATTTTTTTGCTCTTATAAAATTTCGATATCGTTTATGGATTTCGAGTAAAATTCACATTTTTTATACATTAAATATAGACAAAAATTCCGATTTATAAAAAACAATTTATAACTGCACAATTTTGGTATTAGCATTATCAATCAATGAAATAAAAATCAACACTAATATTTTAAATAAAAAATATCAGCTAATAATGTAAGAAAGGCAACATTGACATTTTAAATAAACTGATATTTGTAATCACTTTAAAATAATATTACAGTAAATGCTCAAAGTTACTTTCTTGTTCTTAAACGCAAACATTAGTTCTTCGAAAATTAGAAATTATCCAACAATTGTGCATTACCTCTCATAACATTAATTTCATGTTGTATTCTTTCCCATATTCGTTTTTTTTATTTACTGTAAAGTTATTTTAAACTGTGGTCCTCAACGCTCCCCAAATGAAATAATTACATGGGTTTATGTCCGGGGATCGAGGTGGCCATTTTAAATGGGCATTATTTCCTCTACCTATCCACCTGTTAGACCTTTAATAACCTGTAATACCTACCTGTACCCTGTAATACCTGTAGCCTGTAATAACTGGTCTTTTAATACTCTATTAAAGTAACTTTTTGAAAGCCAACCTCTGCCGCTAAACGCCTTTTATTTACTTGAGGAATTTCTTCGACCCTTTTGAAAATTTGTTCCTCCAGCTGAATAATTCCTGCCGTACATTATCCACGATTTACAGGTAAAAAACGTCCCGTTTCTCGAAGGCGTCTCTCCGCATTAGCAAATGTTTTGTGATTTGGAAATCTTTTAGCATATGTTCGAACAGTAGCACAAAAATTTTCTTCACAATAACCCAAAACTACTAACATATCAGTTTGTTCAGCAAAAGTATAAATTGCAATAAAAAACAAAGTAAGCTAACATTAAATCACAGCTAGCTTGACACAGAACCTTTTAATTATTGTTATGAATTTGTTTCTCTTTTATATGGTACCTCGTACTAGAATGTTCTATTTATCTTAAACTGATTTTATATTATTTAATGTGTAAAAAATGCCAATTTTACTCGAAATCCATAAACGATATCAAAATTTTGTAAGAGGCAAAAAAACTTCTAAAATAGTGCTTATTTTTAAAAATATAAATGCTATCGTCATTGGCGTACATACAAAAAAGTTACGGGATAGCCAGTGGCGCACAGGCACTAGAAATAGAACATCCTGTATATGTATTCTCACCAAATTCTATATTTACCTTGCCCTTATATAAAAAAATAAGTGTACCAAATTTGAAGTTTCTAAGAAAAACAGTTTTCAAATTATTTGAAAAAAATTGGTTATCTATTCTATATTTAGAAGGCTATATCTTAGTAGGCGTGCACTTTTGTATATAGGTAAGTCTTATTTTCATCCAAGGAACCTGTGGTCAAGCGTTGTCCATCCATTTCAGGGACACCCTGTATAGTTCGATAAGTTGATCCCAAATAATAAACATCAAAAGCAATATAAGTATTTGTACTACTTTATTTAAGAATTTGCGATAAAATTATTGGAGAAAATAAATCGTAAATTTAAAATTCGTATCTTATTAAAAAATATTTATTAAGAAAAAATGTGAACATTATTAATTGCACAATACATTTTTAAAGTTTCAACAATGTATATTCACTCCCAAGAGTAATATGTTTGTCAGACATATAAAACTGTCAAAACCGATTATGAAAGAAATTTAATTCTTATATTAGTCCATCTCTCGATGTGGATAAAACATTTCAAGGCAAAGGAGTAGGTAGAACTAATGCTTTATAAACGTTTTATTTACATCAGTGTGTTTTTTGGTGCGCTTGTTTTAATTTAGCCCCAAAGCATTAACGGCAAATAAAGAAAACACCTCTTTGGCTTCACTAAATAGCTTCTCCCCCTCGGTCAATTGTCTCTCGGTTGGTAAAGCCAGGATAGTTACACAAAACTTCTGTGGGGGGCCTCCTTCTACGTTAGTTGCATTCATTACAGCCGCTGTATTAGAATTATTTGTAATAGTGTCTGTATTGCTAGCAGTACTATTAGAAACTACGATGCTGTTGTTCACAAAAGTAATGCTTCCATAAACCTTGGCTGTAGAAATACAAGGTATGGTCATAGAAACAGCATCCCCAGAAGATTGCTTACATTCCGTACTGTTGTTGTCTTTGCATGGCACACTACTCCGTACGCAGCTTGTTTGTCCCTCATTGTTACAAGGGACGGTGGTCGTAGCACTTGTGACACACATCACTGTTCCGTTCTTGGTACAGAGAGACGTTGTATTTGCTGGGCAGAAAGTACCAATATCTCCAACGCAAGTAGTAATAGCGTTAAGGTCGATGGTGGCCTCTTTTTCAACCGTATCTTTGTCGCGATAGTAATGGTGGATGGTGAAATTGGAGGTGGTACTTTTCGCCAGAGAGTGATTTAAGAAGAATTCCAACGCTGCGCTACCGGTGTCATCGATCGAGTTGTGATTTTGTCCATAACTTCCTGTAATAAGAATAAGTATGTTTAGTTGATGGAGATTGAAGAATGTTAAGTGTAACTTATTATTGATTTAAGGTAAGCAAAATGAATTCAACAAGAGTATCTCTTTCCGGGTATAACACATATTTTAAGGGGGCCGATATTAGACCCCTGAGGTAGCAATGTACATACGTATCGGATCACAGATATGTCTCATATTGTCGCCCATCCATTAAATATGATAAATATCATCATCCTGGAACTAAAGTCCAAATTGACGTGTTATTGTTTGATACAATTTATTCTTTTAATTTGCAAATGTACGTGTCTGTATCGCAAGGAAAAACCTCTTGGTCAACGTATCGTATACGTGCGATTAGACATTAATCTGTAACTCCAAGGTTAACTTTTCCATGCGATAATGTCGCGGTTCGTATGCAGAATAATAATTTATAAAATATTCCAGTATTTTTAAGGTAAACCAGGTAAAAATTTGAATTTGAACACTAACATTCTCTCATTCATTGATATTTTGCCTTATTCCTTAAGTGATGATTTTATTGTCATATCCAAACCAAAATTTAAAAAGTAGTATGTCGTGAGCAGAATTGAAAAAGCTTTAAAATGCTGCTGCCTAAGGGGTAGCTTTCAAGGCAGCAACACTTACGCCATCACGATTCCCCCTAGAAAAGAAAATCGACGTGTCTCAGGGTTTTTTTTGTTCTTTTTTTAATTCCGATATTTTCCAGGTAGGAAGTTTTAATTGTAACACCCTGTATATTTACGTATGATTCTTTTCACTGAAGTGATTCTGTGACTAGAGCTAACTCGAAATTCGCTGGCAAACGAGGGTTACAGAATACAGAATGGATCCGTAGGTAAAACCCTTCGAGCATATACTCCTAGAGGCAGCTTTTAGTGCTGAGAAAGCGCGTCTGGTGTGCGAGAGAGAAAGGAGAATAAAAGGACTTGCTATCTCTCTCGCTCCGCGAGCTGATTGGTCGGGGCTTAGGTGCAGGACGGTCATTGGCATGGAGGGGAGCACGCACCGACTAATCCAGCTCGCGGAGCGAGAGAGATAGCATGTCCTTTTATTCTCCTTTCTCTCTCGCACACCAGTCGCGCTTTCTCGGCACTGATGGCTGCCTCTAGGAGTATATGCTCGAAGGTAAAACCATGTAACTGTAATACTAAATACTACACCCATCATACCTGGACTAAGTGGTGGTGGAGTATTGCCCAACAGGAAGTTATAGTTGGGTACCCAATGTTCATTTGCAAAATTGATTTCAGTATCTCCTGCAAATACGTAAAGTTAGAAAAGAAATATTTCGAACGCGTCTCTGTTGTACCTGATTCGTGTGGTGAAGGGTCATATTTCCAGGGTCTAATATTCGCAAACGAGTTGAAAGGACCTACAGAATCAACAGGTCTAACATTTCCCCGTCCGTAAAGGGAATGGGATGGGAAATTGAAGGAGATGTCATAGGTTGGACGTGGTATTACGGGGACATCGAAGACCGGTGGAAGGTGAAATGACGCTGGAGCTGTAAAAAGTTTGATTGAAAATAATTTTATATTATAAAACTAACAAAAACCTAAAAAGGAGCTAGACATTTTGTTTATTGTCCAATTCTAATATATTCTAAAATAAATAGCAGAACGTGCATTTAAAAGAAAATGTTTTAAATTTTTGTTGTTATGTGTTCAAAAATCTATAAATTTGTATAAACTATATTCAGTAAAAGCTGCGGAAGTACTTACATTTAAATACCTTTGCAAGACCTGCAAATTTTACACTTTCTATCACATTAACCGTTACAAGTAGCAAGATATCAAAAACAATTGTTCTACACACCATTATGGGCAGCGTAGAACATTAAGTAGAAGAGCTAATCGTCAAAATAATTAACGATCTCGTTATTCACTTGCTGAACCCAACAAAGTTTCAGGAAATAACGTCTCTGGTCAACGCCCGAAAGCGAACTGTGGAAACATTGATAACAGTATTTTAAAACAATGTTAAGGAAACCAGTAAGTCAGCATAATTCCTACGTCATATTATATTAAATATCCAAGAATTAAAACAGGTTAGCGCGTCTTTAATAATCCCATTTACGTTAATTCAGAATACTAAATGCCGATCGTATACCAGACATTTATACTGTACCGATATCATAAAAATGTTAAAAATTTGTTACATAATGATTACAATTTGATTTGACCCAATGGGCTTTATGTATTTGGAGGTGCTGAATCCGAATTTGAAGTCCGTTTAGCTCAAACAACTTAAAATCTTGAGTAAATGGCAAAAAATAGTGAAAAAGCCACGAAAATCACGTTAATGAGCTTAAAAAAATTCGAAAAAATTTCTGAACTTGATCAAGTGGATTTCTTATGTATTTTGATGTGCTGAACTTAAATCTGAATTCTTTTAAGCTGTATCCCCCCCCAAATTTTGCAAAAATGCAAAAAAGTCGCCGAAAATTGCGAAAAATTGCCAAAAGAATTCGAAAAATTTGTTTTGTATGTTTCTTATGTATTTTCGAATTTGAAGTCTATTAGTTGCATCCCCCCATGGTTTTGCAAAAAAACGCAAAAAAATAGATGGAAATGGCAAAAAATCATATTAATGAGAATGAAAAAATTTAGAAAGCGATTTTCTAGATTGGATCAAGTGTTCAAAGTTTGTTGAGCCTCGTTACCTAAAACTTTTGCAAAATTCGCAAAATATCGCAAAAAAATAGAAATCGTGATTCCAAAAAATATTGAATAAATATCATGGATATGAATTAATTCTAAATAAATTCGACTGGCTCGAACCAGGCTTTCTTCGATGTTGTATTATTGCTCTTACACATTTCTTCTCTTGTAGCGAAATCTTTTCTCTTCATATCAAGCTTGGTCTCATGAAGCAGGTTGTCAAAGCTCTGGACAAAGACGGTGACTGTTCTCACTATTTAGCAGGTTTCCAGCAATAAGTGTTGCCAAATTGAAAGAAGGAATTTTTGGTTGTTCTCAAATTCGTACTCTATTGAAAAAGCAGCATGGCAAATTTCAAGAATATCTCTCGGTACTTTTTAGGAAATAAGAAAAGTAGGGATTAAGAAAAAAATGGTTGAAGCGATGTTAAAAAATTTCAAACAGTTAGGTTGGTTGATGAATCTTAAATGCACTACGGTGAAGAACAAGGAGAAAGATTCCATCAATATATAATACACCAGGAAAATTAGTGAAAATAAAAGAGAAAGTCAAAAAAAGTCCTATCCGCGAGATTATTGTAAAATTGTCTAAAGGAACATAATACAAGACATCTCTCATCTCTTGAGTTAAAAACTTTTATTGGCTAACTTTTCTATTTAAACAAATAAGTGAGGAAAACAGTTTTTTCACTTTGCAGGGAAAACCATCAATTGTAGCGAAAAGTGACTCTCAGACAGCTTGTAGGGAGTAAAATTATCTACAAAATGAGACTTGTTAAATTAAAATCGGTTAATAAACAAAAAAGTTATTGCAAAAAACAAGAAAAGTGCCCATTTTTTCATTTGTTTATAACTATCGCATTTATTGTTAAAATTTTATAAAACCTATGACAAGTTGAGGGTTTTGTCATACTTCAAAAGTGTNTTTATTGTGAAATTTTCTTACCGAATACCACTCTAGCTTCAATTAAAAACTGGAAATTTTTTCTTGCACACGAATATTTTTTAGAAAATTCGTGTGCTCGAAAAAATTTCCAGTAATAATTGAAGCTCTAGTGGTATTATAAGTGAAAATTAATAAATTATTTTCAAATTATTATTTCTCATAAAAAAAGAAAAAAAATTAAATTTTAAATTGTATTATATTGCTTTATATCTATTATTGAAAAATTAAAATGGTTGTGATTCATATTTTTAAATTAGTAATAAATATAATAAAAAAACTTTATATATTAAAATTTTAAGAAGTTAAAATTGTAATTTTATCGACCGCATTATTTTTATTAATATTTTTTAATTTTGAGAATTTTTAAATAAATTCAAATGCTTTTTATTCTTCTTTAAATCATTTAACAATAAATAATAATTTGAAAATAATTTGTGAATTTTTACTTTAATTTTACATTTAAATCGTAATTAAATAACTAAATATTATAAAAGTAAATTTACTTTGGCTTATAAAAAAAATAAATTTTGAATTTATTTAATTAATTTTTAAATGAACGATAGCTTCATTTATTTATTTATTTAATAATCGTAAAATAATTCCGAAATTGAAATTTTAATTAATATTTCGTTTAACAATAGTTTTTGTGACATTTTTGTAAATTAGAAAAATTAAGTATAAAAGCTGCATTTTTTCTGGGGTTCAGGGCTAGTGTACGAATTCGTAAATATGTCCATTGTTATTTTTTCGTCGAGCTACCCCAGTTTAAAAAAAAGAAGTTTCTACGATGAATAGAAGCCTAGATATTGCAAAATTTCAATTTGAATCAATTTGAACTCACGGTTTTTTAATGCACAATTTGAGAATGTTAATGTCAAAAACCGGTGATATTTTTTAATACGTCTTTAAGATTACAATGACGATTTCAGAATCATGTTTGGTTGAAAATCAACGCCAGAGGCTTAAAGTCCATAACTTTTGGAGCCTCTGTTATAAACAAATTGAATTGTGCGAAAATTATTGGACCTCCAGCGTCCACTTTTGGCACACTTTTAAAGTATGACAAAACCCTCAACTTGTCATAGGTTTTATAAAATTTTAACAATAAATGCGATAGTTATAAACAAATTAAGAAATGGGCACTTTTCTTGTTTTTTGCAATAACTTTTTTGTTTATTAACCGATTTTAATTTAACAAGTCTCATTTTGTAGATAATTTTACTCCCTACGAGCTATCTGGGAGTAACTTTTCGCTAAAATTGATGGTTTTCCCTGCAAAGTGAAAAAACTGTTTTCCTCACTTATTTGTTTAAATAGAAAAGTTAGCTAATAAAAGTTTTTGACTCACGAGATGAGAGATGTCTTGTATTATGTTCCTTTAGACAATTTTACAATAATCTAGCGGATAGGACTTTTTTCGAGTAAAAATTTAATTTGTTGGTCTATACCTACTTATCTGTATTTTATATTTCACGATTTTCTGGCAGAATTTAACAAGCAATCTAGCGCGCCTCGAATCAGCAGATATTTGGCAACACTGTGAGAAATTATTTACTTCGTGACCAGCAACTGGTGCAGAAATATTTGTCTTGAAATGTGGACGATAGAAAATTACATTCGAAATATTATATTAATTGAAAAAAAACCATACCTCATCAGGGATCGAACCCCGAACATCAGATTAGTAGGACAACGCGTAACGCTTCAAGCCACGAGACCACATTTATTTAGCTTCGAAAACCTGGCTTATATAATTAACGTTGTGCCTCTTGTGATATAAACAATAATTATAATGAATATATTGGCAGACGGCTGGATACCAGTAATAATATTATTGGCATACTTTGAAGAATTATCAAAAACAATAAAAAATAGATTGTTGCATATTTAAAAAAGACCTATTTATCTGTCAGTTTAGAGAAAGTATAGTGCTGTAGTAAAATATTTTCCATGGTAATGATTTATACATTCGTGAAAAAACTGTTTTCCTCACTTATTTGTTTAAATAGAAAAGTTTGCTAATAAAAGTTTTTGACTCACGAGACGAGATATATCTTGTATTATGTTCCTTTAGACAATTTTACAATAATATCGCGGATAGGAATTTTTTCGAGTAAAAATTTTATTTGCTTGGCCTAAAGTGAAATGTAGAAATGTAGAAAATAAACCATGCGATTTAAAACACGTTATTTATAGAAAAATATTTATTTAAGAAAATATCAACAGTATCACCTGCAAAATGTATTTTTAAAACTTAAAAACAATATAAAAAAAGTATATACACTTGTTTCAATCTATCCCCAACGCATTAACAGCGAATGAAGCGAAAACTTCTTTGGTTTGACTAAATAGTTTTTCCCCCTCGGTTAATTTTCTTTCCGCTGGCAGAGCCAGAATAGTTACACAGAACATCTGTGGTGGGCCTTTCTCTGCGTTGGTTGTATTTGTCACAGCTGTTGTATTCGTCGACAGTGTAGGGTTTGCGGTGGTTGTAGCTGTAGAATTTGTAGTATTTGAAACTGAATCAATCAGAGTCATGTTCGTATTAGGATTGCTTGTAGTAGTGTTTGACACAGTTGTATTACTAGCAGTGGTATTAGAAACGACGATGCTGTTGTTCACAAAACTAATGCTTCCATAAACTTTGGCTGTAGAAATGCAAGGTATTGTGATAGAAGCTGTACTCGCAGAAGACCGCTTGCATTCCGTACTGTTGTTATCCTTGCATGGTATGCTACTCCTTACGCAGTTGGTTTGTTTCTCATTGATACAAGGAACCGTGGAAGTGGCACTAGCTACGCACATCACAGCACCGTTGTTGGTGCAGAGGGACGTTGTATTCGCCGGACAGAAAGCGCCGCTATCCCCAGCACAAACGACGATCGCATTGGGCTCGATGGTGGCTTCCTTTTGAACCGTATCTCTGTTGTGATAGTAATGATGGACGGTATAGTGGTCGTACCTCGGGGTGTAGCCATACCCATCGTAGTAACTATTGTGATAGTGGAAACTGGGGGTAGTCACTTTCGCCAGGGAGTAACCCAAGAAGAAACCCAGCGCTGTACTGCCGGTGTCGTGGGTGGTGTATACTGGGGGCGAATATCCCCATCCTCCGTAACCACCACCATAGCCGCCACCGCCGTAGTGGTGATTGTTTACGTTGTTGTTGATCACTGTGACTCCACCTCCTTGCGGGTGGTATCCACCTTGGGGGTGGTAAGCGCCTTGTGGGTTGTAACCGCCCTGAGGGTGATAACCGCCTTGAGGGTGATAACCACCTTGGGGATGGTAGTTACTGGGGGTGTAGGGAGGAGGGGGTCCGTATCCCGCTGGATTTTGGGGATGACCAGTGGGACTGTAGGGTGGGGGTGGCCCGTATCCTGCGGGGTTGTTGTAGTGTGGATTGTAGGGGGGAGGATTCTGTCCATAATTTCCTGCAAAAAAAATAAGAGTTTATATTCTTTGAAACTGCATGGATTTGCATGAAAATTTAGAATGAGGCTCATCTTAGGCTCAAGTTCAAAAGTGACATAAGCCCGACTGACGCTGTTTGTTTTTTATGGATAAAAACTACCCCTAAGTGAAAAAAATTGTAAAAATTAAGTTTTAAGCATTTTATTGATAAAAATCTTGTTCAAGCACAAAGAGTAAATGATGTTCCATGTTCTCGAACATGTTTTATGATATATTTGATCTTTTCGACCCTTTATTTAACCCTTAAAAACTACCCCTATGCAAAAAATAATGATACAAAGTTACTTTTTAGAGATTTGGAATGATTAAATCGTGCAATTATTTAAAATAAAAGTTACCTTATAGCTAATAAAAGAATTTTTCCCTTTCAACGCCTAAGAACCACCCCTGTATTGACAAAAATGATAAAAAATTACTTTTTAAAAGCCTGGAATGCTTTAACGGTGCAATTATTTAAAATAAAAATTCCCTCATTGTTTATGAAAGAATTTGTATCTCATAACATTTTTCAACCCTTATAAATCACCCCATTTTTTTTTTGAATAATGAAAAATGCGTTTTCAACTTTTACATAATTAAAAAAATACGCATTCTTAACCGATCAAACTTCAGGATCGTATTAAAAACACTAAAACAAAAATAATTGTAAAGGGTCTACGATTAATTTTAATTCTGATGGAAATGGTACAGCGTTTACTGTTTTTTTACATTTTTCCCTTAAAAATATGAGCAACCCATCTGTTCTTGACGATAACTCCTTCAATTTTGCTCTGATTAACTTTTATAAGAGCTCATTTTGAAGGTCTTTGACGTTGAACGATTCGAAACTAGTTCCCTTCCACTAACCATATTTTGCTTTGTATATGACGTACAACACTTTTTAAAAAACGATTTTCTTTGTTTATTTATAAGCTACATTTTTGTTCATTATACTTTTTTTAATAAAATCCTTAGTTTTTGAGTTATTCGCAAAAAATACTTTGAAAGTGTTTTTTTTTCACTCAAAATTCCAAGTTTTCAAGCCTGAATAACTAAAAAACTTGATTTCTCGGAAAAATTCTTCGAATATTTTTTGCTCACAATTTGATTCTCTATCGATTTTTTTGAAGAAACCAACAGGGTGGAAGCATCAATCGGCGCTATGTCACTAATGTGCATTAACCTTTTCTCTAACTATCTGCCAAATTTCAAGTCGATCGATTCAGTTTCAATGAATTTGGAGGTGAAAAGCTTCAATGACTGTACTATTATAAATAGGAGTGAATATTTTAAAGTAACTTGATGCGTATTTTTTGCATTTTATTTGTTTGTAGATTTGCTAAAACCCGTCTATCATTGATTATAGATCATGATTATTGATTATTGATCTTGTACTACAACCACCAAAGGATTTATGGTTGGTGACCACCACCAATGGTTGGTGACATCAGTACTTGTGGTTTTTTATTATTCCCTAATAATTATTGTAAATGACAGAAATCTATCCGGGCATTGTTATGGATATGATAGGCAACTAAAATTGCACCGGCATGAATTAAAATTGTGCCACAAACAAATAACTTCAGGCAATCATTTAATTGTCAGTAGTATATAGCTATCTCACATTTTTATACAATAAAAACGATATTATTTATTTGAAAATATCGAACCCACAATAAAATGTTCGTATATCAAATTTTGACTACTATTGTCTTCGTTGCCTTATCTTATCATTAAAATAAGACGAACAAAAATTACGGTCAATTATTTGACCTTGCCGATATTTGTTAGATATTCTTAGAACTATTTATTTTTTACTGCCGATTTTAACATACAGAAATAACAGCTGTAAAATATATTTCCATTCTAACGATGTTTTAGCAGTACCCATATGAATAATTCTTTTGAGTTAACTTTGATAAATAATGAAATTGGTTTGCGTTATCATTTTATTCAAACGGTATCGAAGTTAATTAGTTTTTGTCATATATATGGCTAGATACCAGTCGGTCATCTCAAAGTCATTTTTTTCATTCAAATAATGTTATGATTTGTTCGTGCAGTATATAGTCCGGTCAAATTAGTCATAAAAATAGTGGTCAAATAACGAAAATTCCGACAGAGCTAAATTTTGGTGGAAACCTTGGGTACACCATTAGAAATAAAGTTTCAAAAGTCCCCATCGATCCCATGTGTGCTAAAAAAGTTATTCGGGATCAAAAGTCAAAATTTGAGGATTTTTGGATTTTTTTCGAAAACGGTAAGTTTTAGCATAAAAGTAGCCCAGACAAAAATTATTGACCTTAAAATTATCTACAAAAATGGTCCTTATACTTTTTTTTCTAAGAATAACCATTCCTGAGATATCGCGATTCTAAAAGTTGAAGAAGTCACGTTCTACATAAAACTTACCGTTTTCGAAAAAAATACAAGAAACCTCAAATTTTGACCTTTGACCCCGAATAACTTTTGACACATTATTTCTAATGGTGTACCCAAGGTCTCCACCAAAATTTAGCTCTGTCGGAATTTTCGTTATTTGAAATATCTATTTCGACCGGACTAATAATGGTTTATGTGATATTTCACCTGTGGCAACATATAAGAAATGCGTCACTATATGAGCAAATAAAAATATGTTGAGCTGGCATAGTTAATTACAGAATAATTATTTTATCCATTTATACATTTTTATGTATGAAAATTTGTCACTAATTGTACGTAATTCTGTGCTTCGTTGTTGATGCAGTCTACTGAAATTCGCTCTCAAGTATTAGGTCTATGCTATCTGTTTTTTTTTAATGATTGATTGAAGGTTATAGAATTACTGAGTCGAAACTTGAAAATACCAAATGAAATAATACTTACACAAAGAAACCCAACATTTTGTAGTTAGTTTTCGCCATATATAATGTACACGACAAAAATATGTGTTATTTCTTTAAAATTGCCAAACAATCTCAAATATTTATATGTTCTGTTAGCATTGCAATCTAATTTAATTATATTAAATAGTATTTCCGTACCTGGACTATAGGGAGGTGGGTTATTGCCCAGGGCAGGACTGTGTTTTGGTGTCTCATGACCACCAGTGGCGAATCCAATCGGCCTTACTGTTCCAGTACTAATGGGTCTCTCTGCTCCAGTACCTACTGCAGATAATAATAAAAAAAAACGTTTCAACTTTACCAATGTTGTATTTTCGTCTTTTTTGTCAGAAATTGAAGAAGTGAAAGACAACAAATATTACATACAGCAGGAAAAACAAGAACCCGAAAAAAATTCTGACAAAAGCAATCTCTAATGATATAAACAGCCAATTTATATTATTTATTAAAATTATGCATTAGCTGCTACTAAATACGCATTTCCCGAATCAAATTTACTATTTTCTTTACTGTGAACCCCACAGAAGTGTTAATTTTTGTGTTTCAACTGTAAAGTTTTCTGTTCTAAATTAAGTTATCGACTTATCTATTTTGCGTGTGACTGTACCTGAACCATGTGGTGGTGGAGCATTGCCCAACGAGGGACTGTGTTTCGCAGTCTGATGGTCAGTGACAAAACCGATAGGTCTTTCATTGCCCCCTGCAAAAAAATGTAATACTAAAAAAAAACCTTCGAGCTATATGACTGTTATACCTGAGCCATGTGATGGAGTATTATGCGACGAGGATCCAGAAGGTGCGGATGGCTTCGAATGGTCCACAAAACCTATGGGTCTCACATTTCCGCTTCCATGACTAGAACCATAGTTATTGGAGGACGTATGGTGCGTTATGGGGTTATGGTGAACTGTTGAAGTGCGATGTGAAGTCCTAGCTAAAAAAAATTATGTTGCTGTTATTTATTAGAGGGCGCCATTTGCGGCAGTTTGCATCCTTGAATGTGGGGTTTCAAATTTCGAAAAAAAATCAATATCTCAGTTATAGTTGAACTTAGAAAAGACAAATTTAGTGTGAGTGCACCAAGAGCATTAATCGACTGTAAGTAGAGTTCAATTCAGGTATTTTAAAGGGTTGATAAGGGATGATGCACCCTTAAAATATACAGGATTTTTTAACCCGTTCGGAGACTTAAAAAATTATTACTTTATTTTATGGGAAATTTCGTTCCAAAGCTTGTAGCTGTTACCTGTTCAAAAAAATTCAAAATTATGTGACAAAAAATCTGCTGATAATAAAGAAGCCTTAAAAACAGATTTCTTTCTCTGTTCTAGCATTTTCAAAATTGATAATTTTAAATACATAATTACAACAACATATAATTAACATATGAAATTTAATGATAACGCTGAAGTGATATTAAAATTATGTACAAATGGGAAATTAAATTAAGTCCATAAATATTTATCAAACGTTTAAATAACAATATATCTTTATGCTGAGAAAAGCAGTCGCAGAACTGCTGACCCCGTAACATTTCAATGACGTCATTTAAAATGGTGCATAATATTTACCTTCTGCATAAAGTTTTTTATATGTTTACCGTTTAAAACATTCTAAAGTTTCTGGAGAGACACGTTTCTCTCTTCCCGAAAACGTAAGGTATACACTATTTTCAACAAAATCTTATAAAAGTACTTACAACTAGATGATCTTCCTCTGCCTCCACGTCCACCAGTCCTTCCACATTCTATGACATGAACTGTTACAAACAGAAAAATAACAAACACGGTCGTCCTAAACATCATTAGGAACAGCGTGGGTCACTTAAGCGTACGAACTAATTGTCATACTAATTACTTAACTATCTCGTTGTTGGCTAAAGGCCAGTGAAACTTTAAGAAATAACCTCTCTGGTCAACTCTCGAAAGCGAACTGTTCTGTAATAATGAAAACAGCATTTTAAATCAATTTAATGGTAAAAGTGTGAGTCAGCGGAGTTCTATGTCACATTATATTAAATATCCAAGAATTTAAACAAACTGCGTACGTATAAGTTAATTGGGTTTTTAATAATCTCATTTTAAATACACAGAATGTTACAAATTTCGCACATGCTAATTATTTATTCCTTCTCTTTACCCAAATATGTCATTAATTTTTTATTAAGAAAGAGTATAAATACTGATAGAACCAAATACATTTTTCTACTTATTTAGCTGCACAAAATTCATAGTAATATTATGTGCCATTTTTATTTTTTAACCAGGAAGGTACTATATTTTGACCCCCCCTTCATTAACTTTTTTGTTTTTAGAGTTATAAAAAAATGTGAAATACAAACGTTGCACGATTTTTTATGAATTTTTCGAAAATGATAGTAGAAAAACAAATGAAGTCCAAACAAAATATCCGTGGATGTTAACTTTGTTAATTTAAATGGAACACCCTGTATATTTTTACATATTTGGATAGGACGTTCTCTGTCGAGCATAGTCATATAGGGTTTGTTGGGTTCGTCTCTAACAACAAGCGAGATACTATTAAAAAAAGAAAATAAGGTTTTTTGTTAAGAAAATAGGATATCTTGTAACTGTTAGACCCCTTTCAGGTATTTCTGCTTTTTTTCCAATTACGTAAGGATTTATAGATTTAGTTGTAAAATATTTTGATATATCGGACATTGATAATATGGTCCAAAATGCATAGGTATTTTAACTAAATCTATACATAGATATATTATAATACTATAAATAATTATATTTTTGGTTTTATTTATTATAATTCAGTTTTGTTTTTCTTCTGTGTAGTTTATTTCATAAATAATGTTAGGCGCCAATTTATAGTATTATAAAGATTTATTTAATATGTGAAATGTATTTAGAATCTTTAAATTTTGAATTTTCCTATAGTATTCTTAAAAAATATCACAATAAATTATGTTCTATACTTACCAAGCTAGCTCTTTTTATATGTCACTTAATTTGATTTTGAATCTTTAAATGTAAATTTATTCTTTATATACTTTTTTTAATTATTTTCAAATTATAATTTAACTATATTTAAAAAAAAAATTAATAATTTTAATTACAACTAAACTACTAGTGTACTTTCTGCAAATTTTATAACAAAATTTTTATAGAGCATGTTGAGATCTCAGTAGTCGGTTCTAAAGCTTTTTGAAATTAATTATGAAGAAAATGTTTAATATGTAATTAATATTGTTTCTTTGCTTTTGTTAAAAAAAAATAAAATAGTATTATAATTCTCGGGAAAGAGTGAAAGCTTAATAATCTCACAGTCCTTTTATTAAGACGACTAGTTTCGAGGTCTACACTTTGCACCTCATCTTCAGGTCATTACAAGGATATCACATTTACAAGGTTCTGTGCAAAATTTGGAAAATTCATCTAAATAACCAGTTTATCAATTGTATACTTAATAATATCTTCCTAACGTTTAATTTTAAAAAACATAAAACATTTACTGTAGACAATGACAATACACAGTTACAAGTAAATATAAATAAATAAGTTTTGTACTTGTAACTGTGTATTGTCATTGTCTACAGTAAATGTTTTATGTTTTTTAAAATTAAACGTTAGGAAGATATTATTAAGTATACAATTGATAAACTGGTTATTTAGATGAATTTTCCAAATTTTGCACAGAACCTTGTAAATGTGATATCCTTGTAATGACCCAAAATATAGTGAATCACCCTGTACATGCGAAAGCAGAAGCATTCAAATTTAAATATTTTGCCAAATTATAGGTAAGGACACTGGTGTTAATTGTAACAAAAGTAAAATCGATTATCTCGTAGCCTAAACTATTTGAAGTATGTTCTTGTAAATTCCATCAGACATACGTATAAGCCAAATCTAAATCTGACTTTGAATTAGCCAAAAGAAAAACTTTCCCAAATAAAAAACTTAACTAACTTCATTTGTTACAATCAACACTGGATGGATTGATTGTAACAGATTGTAAAAGGTAATAAAATGTTTTAATTGAAAATAATTTATTAAAAAACAGGTAAATCTAATAAAATAATATGCATTAGGGTAAACAAATAAATCATTATAATTAACATAAAACACATAACAAATGGAATAAATCAGAAATCCAAAGAGTAAATTAGTAATTGTATAAAAGTTAGACACGTGCTAAAAATGGTATTAAGTTAATTCAAACAAATTCAAATATTTTTTCTAACGAACGTTCAAATAAAAACGTGGTCGAAGTTGGCTCTGACACATTGGACGTAGGGCGTAGCTTATAGCGACCAACTTAACCTCATTTCTCAACGAGCTGTATAGCAGCTGTCAGTTTCAATAACGTTAATGACTATATAACTTTATTTTAAAGAATAATCGTGATAACAATAATATAATAATATATATAATAATTAAAGGAGCTGCGGAAAGTGTCCCCCTCCTTGTTATAACACTTAAATGAAACCAGGCTTCATCAGAAAAAAAGGTGATATTATGAAGTTCACCGTAGTTGTTTAAAAACCATTCACAAAATACAGCCCGTCGCGGAAAATCAACTTCATGAAGTTCTTGCTGACAAGTTAAACGATAGGAGAACAAACGCAAATCTTTTTTTAACACTGTGTGGCAGGTACCGACTGATACTCCCACCATTTGTGATAAAATACGTACAGAAGTTCTTGGTGCATTTTCCATTATTTGTTGGACATTTTCTTTTAATTCTTCAGTCCGCTTTTTAGGTCGGCCGCTTCCTTCTTTTCTTGTTACACTGCCCGTTTCACGAAAAACATTAACACAACGCTGAACTGCACTTTGAAAAATTTTGTACTCAACAACGCCGGGAAATTGATTCTGAAATTCTATGAAACATTCCTCAATAGAATACTTCCATATTCCATCAATCTTGCGTCCATTTCTAAAGTAGGACTCTATGATAAACAATTTATGTTCTTGAGAAAACACCATTTTAAACGCTTTTTAAAACGAAAATATTCAAATTGATAGCAGCGATATAACGCTTTGACAGATGACGTTTAAGTTCATTTGCTATACGCTACGCCCTACGTCCAAATTTTCAGAACCAACTTGACCACGTTTTTATTTGAACGCTCGTTAGAATCGTCTAAAGTGTAGTTAAACAATGATTCACAACCTATTTATTGTACGCAAAATACAGGGTGTTTCAACTAAACCTTCCCAGCTGGAAAATATCGGAATTCAACACCCTGTACGCGCACTAATGTCCATTTATGCCCAAAGCACTAACAGCGAACGCGGCCAAAACATTTTCGGCCTTTTTCAAAACTTTTTCCCCCTCGCTTAACCGCCTCTCTGCTGGTAGAGCCAGGACAGTCACACAAAAACTTTTCCTTGAATTATCACTTGTAGAGTTGTTGGTGATCAAAATACTGTAGTATAGGTAACTGACGGTACCGTACACGTTGACTGTTGAAACGCAAGGTATTGATATAGAAGCTACGCCATTGAGAGACGTCTCGCACTCGGGGCCGTGATTCTCTTTGCAAGGCACACTGCTTCTTACGCAGCTGACGCGTCTGTCGTGCAAGCAAGGGACCGTTGAAGAGTCTCTCGTCACGCACAACAGAGCGCCGTTACTGGTGCAGAGAGCCGTTGTATTCGTCGGACATAAAGTGCTACTGTTTCCGGCACAGATGACGAATATATCAGGGGGAATGGTGACTTCAGTTTGGATCGATTTGTTGTTGTGGTAGTAGTGGTGAATTGAGTAATGGTCGTATTTTGGAATGTAGCCGTGTGGATCGTATTTGGTGTTGTAGTAGTGGTAGGTGGGAGTGATTTTGACCAAAGACTGCTTCAAATAGAACCCTAAAGTTGTATCGCCGGTGTCGTTTATGGTGTACTTAGGGTTAGAAAAATCTCTTCCATCGCTGAATGGATAATAGTTAAGAGGTGGCGGCCCATATGCTGCTGGGTTGTAGTATCTATTATCTACAATGAGAAACAGAGAAATGGTCATGTGTTGCACCACTAAAGCTTATTATCAACTATTCCAGGACAATGAGGGAAACATCCTTGTAGTCATAGGATAATTTTGTTGTTAACGTAAATAATAAATGTACCTATTAACCTATTCAATGTAAGATGTCCTGTTGTTTTAAATTTAAGTAAGATCGGGTGGTGAGTTTATTATTTGTAAGTTGTCAGTCCTTGTCATGTATAAATCCAAAGGGAATATATAGAGATTCACATTTAGAATTCTAACCTTAAATTTTGATAAAATGATTTTGGCGTAATATATTACATATAAATGTTCATCATTTATTACGAGATATCCAGAAACGAACCTGCCGGATTGAACAAAAAACCGTATTTATAACAAAAAATAATTGAAATAGTACCTTGTGGAAGGTTAGGCAGTTTTCCAGTCCAGCGTGGAGCTGAATTGGGCGGAGGAGGACGTTGTGTTGTGATAGTCTTTTTCTTAATGCTTTTCTTCAACTCTTTAAGTGCTAAAAATGAAAGGTTATTTGAGAAATTATTCAAAACACACTTCTGAAGTGGTGGAAAGCTGTTCTAAAGAAATATACAGGGTGTCCCTGAAAAGGATGGACAACGCTTGACCACAGGTTCCTTGGATGAAAATAAGACTATTTAGCCTAACTTACCTATATACAAAGGTGCACGCCTACTGAGATATAGCTTTCTAAATATAGAATAGATAACCTATTTTTTTCAAATAATTTGAAAAATATTTTTCTTAGAAACTTCAAATAAAATATAGACAAAAATTCCGATTTATAAAAAATAATTTATAACCGCAGCCTCAAAGCAGGGAATAATAATGAAAAAACGTAACATTAAAAAAAATAACTACATATTTTTGATATTAGTATTATCAATCAATAAAATAAAAATCAACACTAATATTTTAAATAAACAATATCAACTAATAATGTAAGAAAGTCAACATTAACATTTTAAATAAAGTGATGTTTGTAATTATGTTAAAATAATATTACAGTAAATGCTCAAAGTTACTTTCTTGTTCTTAAACGCAAACATTAGTTCTTCGAAAATTAGAAATTATCCAACAATTGTGCGTTACCTCTCATAACATTAATTTCATGTTGTATTCTTTCCCATATTCGTTTTCTGTATTTACTGAAGTTATTTTAAACTGTGGTCCTCAACGCTCCCCAAATGAAATAATTACATGGGTTTAGGTCCGGGGATCGAGGGGGCCATTTTAAATGGGCATTATTTCCTCTACTTATCCACCTGTTTGACCTTTAATAACCTGTAATACTTACCTGTACCCTGTAATACCTGTAACCTGTAATAACTGGTCTTTTAATACTCTATTAAAGGAACTTTTTGAAAGTCAACCTCTGCCGCTAAACGCCTTTTATTTACTTGAGGAATTTCTTCGACCCTTTTGAAAATTTGTTCCTCCAGCTGAATAATTCCTGCCGTACATTATCCACGATTTACAGGTAAAAAACGTCCCGTTTCTCGAAGGCGTCTCTCCCCATTAGCAAATGTTTTGTGATTTGGAAATCTTTTAACATATGTTTGAACAGTAGCACAAAAATGTCCTTCACAATAACCCAAAACTACTAACATATCAGTTTGTTCAGCAAAAGTATAAATGGCAATAAAAAACAAAGTAAGCTAAAATTAAATCTCGGCTAGCTTGACACAGAACATTTTAATTATTGTTATGAATTTGTTTCTCTGTTATATGGCACCTCGTACTAGAATGTTCTATTTATCTTAAACTGATTTTATAATATTTAATGTGTAAAAAATGCCAATTTTACTCGAAATCCATAAACGATATCAAAATTTTGTAAGAGGCAAAAAATCTTCTAAAATAGTGCTTATTATTAAAAATAAATTCTGTCGTCATTGGCGTACATACAAAAAAGTTACGAGATAGCCAGTGGCGCATAGGCACTAGAAAGAGAACATCCTGTATATGTATTCTCTCCAAATTCTATATTTACCTTGCCCTTATATAAAAAAATATGTGTATCAAATTTGAAGTTTCTAAGAAAAACAGTTTTCAAATTATTTGAAAAAACTAGGTTATCTGTTCTATATCTCAGTAGGCGTGCACTTTTGTATATAGGTAAGTTAGGCTAAATAGTCTTGTTTTCATCCAAGGAACCTGTGGTCAAGCGTTGTCCATCCTTTTCAGGGACACCCTGTACATACAAATCGCTAATAGAACCTGTTCCCCTGAACCTGAATCTGAATTTATTATTTTTTTTAAATAAGAAGTCGAGTTATAGGTAATATATTTTTCAAACTACAATACACCATACTCATTGCGATATATTTTAATTGTAAACTGTTTTTATGACGATGCGCTTGAAAAATTGTATGTAAGATTAATTAAAGAAAATAAGATACTTACAATCTGCTACATCATCCCAGTGGTCGTGGTGGTGTCGTCTACATTCAGAAAAGTGAACAGTAACACACAGAAATGCAATTATCACAACTGTTCTAAATATCATAATGGAGGCAACAAATACTAAACTCTGTGAACGTGTGACCCATTTTTATTTCTTAACTTTGGTTCAGTAGGGTCAAGGGTCAGGGGAATATTGAAGATAACGTAGCTAGTTAATGAGAGATAAAGTCAAAGAATCAGTTCCTTTTCAACAGTGTTCACTTGTTATAATTTTACAACGTTACATTTTTATTTACGTCACTGTCGCAGGAAGTGTTTACGGTTCTCTTAAGCAGAAACAGACGAAAATAGAAAATGAGTAATTAAGTTTCTATCTGCACTGATGTTACTGGAATTATTTTTTCTAGTCTCTGTCATCAGGATGCAAGGAATACTAGAAACATTATCTAGATAAAGCACAGCTTGTTTTTCAAATTATTTGAAAATAAAACGCCTCTAAAGAATTATGCGAACGTATTTACCCCATCACAGATAAGATACTAATTATTGATATGTGACGTGGGAGCTTTCTTCTGCGTTGGTTGTATTTGGAGTAGTAATGTTTGACACCGATGCTGTAGCAATAGTCTAAGAAACGAAGCTTCCATAAACTTTAGCTGTAGGTATCGCCATACCCATCGTAGTAACTGTCGTGAGAATGAAAACAGAGGGTAATAATTCATTTTACAAATAAATAAAACGTGAGTTACATTTATTTTACAGAATTATAAATTACTTTTTTATATTACAGCTTTGAACGCAAGGTATACTGAAAGGAAATCCTACACATTAGCTTCATATCTTGGTGGACACATCAGTTTCCTATATCGGTGGATTTTTATTGGTTTCACGTTTTGGTGGATTTATAAAACGGTCATGTTTTGTGACAGCATAAGCTGGGGGTACTTCATATTTTACTGTGTTGTAATATGCACGCTGAATTGTCTATAACAGAAATAAAAATTTGACTTAAAATAAACGTAAGATTGGATATAATGTTTCAGTTTCCTTTTTTATATTAAATTTACCCTTTACGCGTAAATTATGCTCACAAAATTATATTAATTATTATAGGAGATATTCTTAAAAATTTTAAAGTTAAAAAATAAACCTTTGTCGTTATTTGATATTGGTGATTTTGATGTCAGTATAAAACCCACAGGTCTCACCCTATACGGAGGGTTGTATTTAAATGTTGTTATATGTGGATGATAGCTATAATGTGTCGGATGAGAATGTGTGGAGGAACCAGGTCTAAGTCGACTATATCTTCTTGAGTGCAATCGGCCTGCTATTGAATAAAAAATACTTGAGATAAAATACGAAATATTGAGGTTTAATTTGATACACAAATAACCCTAGTAGGCAAAGTATAGTTAATAAATAAATAACTATTATTTCTTTAAATGTAAATTAATTACCCTAGTTTAGTCACATATGCTACAGATAATTAAAACACAAAAGTAGAAAGATATATATGCATTTTCATGTTTTGTACAAATAATTATATATTTACCTCCGTACCGTCCACAATCTGTAACTTGAATTGTTATATACACCAGGATAATAACAACAGTTGTTCTATGTATCATCGTGAAAATGAATAAAACCAATAATTCTCTTCTCTTGGATGTGTTTTGCTTGCCAAGGATCAGGATTAAAGATACGCTATCTCGCCAAATTATAAATAAGCTATTTATACACCCTTGAATATCAATTTCTACTGAATTATTTGTGTCTTTTAACAATAGGTTTAGACCACGAATAAAAATGCAAATATATACAAAGAATTACAAAATGTTTGTTGGTTGGACATTTGTTTTTACATAATTCCACATAATTTTCAGGATTGAGTTTTAAGATATCATGGCTAGATATCGGAAACTTTATGGCCACAATCAAATAAATACATATAGGCTAAATTTGTGGTCGAGCCGTGTGCCGCTCTGTGCTCATGATACACAATGCTGCTGACTGCCATAAAAACACTTGCCCTACACACGACCAAGCAAAGCTTAAAACTCACTCACACACGCACAAAACCTGGATTGTTCACCGCTAGATACGTATCGAATAAATTGATCGATGCGAAGCTTCAGATCTGCAGCAGATATATAAGTACATGTTTTTGCACAATGACGCGAATAGTGGGATTACTAAAATTTGAAGTAGTTGACTATTTTAGATATACGTCTCTGACCTCCGTAAATGTTGAACGATCAATTTCGTTTCCGAAATATATATCACGACATTGCTACGCTTTCCATAAGGTTTGCGACAAAGTTGCTTTTTATTTAATGGAACACCCTGTGTATTATTCTAGATTTCTATTCTCGAAATTCTAAACAAAACTCATAAGCACATCGTGTACTTAAATTTAACGAGATATCGAACTTTGAAAGTAACTTTTTATACTCTCAAATTTATAAATGAAAAATGGCCCCAAATTATGGATATTTATTTTGAAAACAACACAAGGTAGAGGATATGGATATGATTTAATTTTATGATTACTTTTTTATAGAAAATAAAAAAGCATAATAGTTCAGGGTTGATAAAAATGCATGAAACGGAAAAAAATTATTTTTTAATGATTTCCTGGATATTTCAAATTTTATGAAAACGACAAATATTTTCTTTGGAATTCTATTTTATAAGGTGCTCAAAGCGTTCACCATTTATCTGCTAACAGTAATGAATTCGCCGAACAAAATTTTGTAGTGAATCTAAACGGGTGTTGAGAGGAATAATGGAAATTTCAAGCCTTATCCTTTCCAGCAACTCTTCGATATTTTGCGGCCTATTTATGTAGACTACTTTTTTTATATGACCCCACACAAAAAAGTCAAGCGGGGTCATGTCGGGAGACCTAGCTGACCATTCAATTACCCTTCCCCTCTGCGTCCAATTCATATACCAAGAAAAGTCTCATCTAGATATACCCGTTTCACATGTCTAAAATGTGAGGGCAAAAATAATATTGGACTTTTTTTGTGGAAATTATAGACTTTCGTTTGGCCTCTTTATAGAACCTCACAGTAAATCATAATTTTTGTGAAATCATAGGTCGTTTCCCGTGTCTACAACTTGTTAATTTTACGTCATACGTTTGTCCTGTGGTTAAATTTTAATCTTGATTTAGACAATAAAAAATTAGAATGAAATTGGAATCAATGAATGGCATAATCGTTATATATTATTAAAATTATCATTTTTAAATTCAAATGTCGCATGTTAAGTACTATATAATACATATTTATATGTCTAGGATACGAAACTCCCTAAAATAAGTAAAAAAACAATAACAGGACATGACTAAATAAAAATCCGTAGAGCAGGTCAAGGTAACACATATCTACACGGTGATTCACAACAGATGGGTTGCTCATATTTTTTAAGGAAAAATGAGCAGTAAACGCTGTACAATTTCCATTTTTTACCATTTTTGTCAATACAGGGGTGGTTTTTAGGGGTTGAAAGGGAAAAATTCTTTTATTAGCTACAAGGTAACTTTGCACGATTGGCACTGTCAATTAAAAATCCATAAAAATCCTACAAACTTGTTTTTGAAATTGATTAACGTGAACTGACGGTATTAAACACAAATTTATGAAAAATATCGTATCGTTTAATTAAATTTTATTATATTAATGAAAAAAATAAAACAATTATTGTGTATAATTATTGTAAATAGAATATAATTTTTACCAAAAATACAAAAAAGTATTTGAACAAATAAAGTATTTATGTATCAGTAGTAGTTTTTAAATAAAAATTAAGCTTGTTTGCTTACTTCATCTCTGGTGACGATTAAAAAAATCATTAATGAAAATTAGCATAAGTAGTATCTCAACAAATATACTCGACGAAAAACTCAACAAAACCAAATTTGAAATTCACCTAGGGTCAAATAAAGTGCACCAAGTATTAGCATACAATATGTTTTGGAAGAACATATATTTAACGAGATGTCTTCTAGGACATCATGCAGAAGGTGGTGTTAGAAAAAGTCCTTGTAACCATTTGCGTTCATGTGATTATCGAGTTATTGTAATTCCAGTACAGTATCTCTCCGTATATTGATAGAAAATCGCTGCTGGAAATCTTCTGCTTCTTTTAACATGAATAATGATGCAGATCTCGAAAATTTGTTATGTCCTATCTGGTAAAAATCGCTTCATCGTCCATAAAATAGACGAAATAAAATTAGGATCGTCGTTTCTCATTCTAATAAGCCACTGACAAAAACGTGTAGGTACGTAACTGAGCATCCCCAGGATGAAGAGCTTGCACACTGCTTCAAGACTGCATCAATTACAGCTGCAATGGTCTGCAACTCTTTCCATTATAAAAGGAAAATACGTAAACGATGTCAGCTACTTCTCTTGTAGTAAAATCACACAATTAGAAAAAGATTCAAACACGTAGACGAATAGGGATTTTCAATTATTAACTACATTTCAAAGTGAATTGGTAATGATAGCAAGTGCCTTTGTTTGAACGTAGTGTTGCTGTAAATAGTCCAAATAAACCACTAACAATGAAATAAAGAAATGTTTATATCCTTTCGTGCAACTGAATAAAAGATGCGTTCAATATGTACATTTAATTTTACATGCAAACATATTTATGTGCATAAATTATTTATAATATAAACTGTTATTATTCTGGAAGTTTGTGTGTGAATTGGAACAAAAGAAATTTGTCAAAATTTATATAACATCGGTCATGTAAAATTATTAAATGCTATTCAAATTCAACAGTATAAATAATCTGATTTAAAACGTCAAGAGGAAAAAACACGCATAATAAATATTTGGAATGTGATTTTTTTAAGCTAATATTTTCAAAATTTTAATCAACAGGGCTCATAGTTCCAGGATCCAATTCACAGTTATTACGTATTTTGTTTCATAAAGGTTGCAATATACATATTATAAATTATTTTCATTGGATTAAATTAACTGTTTTTGGTTATAACGCATTCTAAAATTTTCTGTTACCTCACAGTATGCATATAGATATGTCACATCCTTTTGGAATTTTAACGAGTACCGAAATTAATTCATTGATAAATAATCTATAAATACAAGACGATCAGCTTATTTGGCTTAGTGTAACAAGAACGTCGTTGTACCAATCAAATAACTACATTTAAATATAACAATAGTTGCTTTTTCATTAGACTGGAAATGTTTGAAAAACGAAAATGTGGTACTGGTGGCGGAAATGAACAAACCATGGATTATAATCTGAAAGGAGGAAGAATGATATCAGATCCTTTACAAGGAGAAGAAATTGTTATATCAGGTACGCTAAATATCCTTTCCAATTCATTCGTCACATCTGTTTTTGTTTCTCAGGTTTATCCGGCGCTTTTCCAAATTCGATGAACGTCAACGAATTTAAAGAAAACTTATTTAATAAGGTAAATATGGTAACGCCAAATCGAAGATGGGACTATGACCACCCCGAAATGCCAACACGTTCTGGGACTATTCCTGAAATCGACAAATACGATTCTGGATATTTTGGTATGTGTAATAATAATCAATTTTTTAATATAACTTCTTCCGTTACATAATACTCAAAATATGAAGTAGTACATACGGGTTCTAGTCGGGAGCGCCTCAAGGATCTGTTTTGGGCCCGTTGCTGCACTTTATATTCTCATATGATATTGATGAGAACGTAACTATTCTTGTCTTCCCATATCTCCAACATTGTCTCCCAAACTCTCTTCCCTCCTGTTCAGTGCATATATTGCACCTACTTTAGAAGGAATATAATGTGATCACAATATTTAATTAAAAACATTGGAGAAAAAGCTACCAGACAAGTAACCATTTCGATTTGATTCACTCAGATTAGAGGATTATTCTTTTCCAGTTCTTTAACAAATATTCAGCTGCTTCTTTTGGTAAAGCTAAGTTGCAAATAAGATAATTTAGCTCACCCTGATTAAATTCCCACGTTATATATTCACCTTCACTAACCACTTCGTGTCATCATCTCCCTTATTCGTAGTGATTCTCATTTTCCTCTTTATCTTCCTCTCGAACGGTTTGGTTTCTTCGTTTTCCATCCCTAGACTTACAAAATTATTTCCTGCGAAATGCCTACACATATTTGCACACTATTCAAACCTTTATGGAAACGATATTATCTCGAAGATGAATTACTTCTTTTCCCATTCCAGGTGTACATGAGAGACAATCTCATTCTCTGGATACGATGACTAGTCTTCTTCAAGAAAGAACGATCGAGGCTATCTTTGATGCAGGGATGCACCCTTCAGATCTCGAAGGCACCAACACTGGTGTTTTCGTTGGGTCATGCTTCAGTGAGAACGACAAGGTGTGGTACTGGGATAATATGGCGAGTCAAACTTACGCAGTGACGGGGTGAGTATGAAAAAAGTCTATCGATTTGTCCTCCACCGATAAATATTTGATGTGTTGTAGATCGGAGCGATCCATGATGGCACATCGGCTCAGTTACTTTTTAAAACTGAAAGGGCCGTCATATAGATTAGACTCTGCTTGCAGCAGTTCTTTGTACGCTCTGGAGCACGCATATAGGGCTATTCGGCTTGGAGAAGTCGACGCTGCAATTGTGGCCGGTACACAACTTTGTTTACATCCTTTCGTAACAATGCAGTTTTCAAGGTAAAATAAACAAAACTGTTAAAATAATATTCTTTTAATTAAAGTGTAAATTTTTTCAAGGTTGGGAGTTTTAAGTCACGACGGCGTATGCAAATGTTTCGACGCTCGAGGTGATGGCTATGCTAGATCAGAAGCGGTCATTTCTGTAGTCCTACAAAAATCTAAATCTGCTAAAAGGGCCTACGGGCAACTGGTCCACATCGGAACAAACTCCGATGGATACAAAGAGCAAGGCATAACATTTCCATCGGCTCCCGCTCAAATAGATCTACTGACCGAATTTTATAATCAATGCGACGTAGACAAGTGCAGTTTGAGCTATCTAGAGACTCATGGAACTTGTAAGTAATCCTTGGAAAAAACATTTAATTGTAACTGTAATGTGGCTGTTTCTCCAGCTACTGTCGTTGGTGATCCAGAAGAGTGTTATGCTATCGACACGGTCTTTACGAAGCATCGAAAACAACCGCTGCTGATTGGTTCAGTCAAATCCAATATTGGGCACTCAGAAGCTGCTTCGGGTCTATGTTCTATCACAAAGGTTGGTTTTAAATTAATATGTTATTTCCCAAAAAAACATAAACCTAAAGATGTCATTAGGATATCTGGTAGGATATACTCCATGTCCCAAGGACGTCTTACAAATCACTGTATCCTTAGGATATTCCATCGCATGGATATATGCTTTGGACTATATGCTATATTTAAATGTTGTGCCATTTCGGACATCCAATCCTCCAGGTGTCCCACGACTACGAGTATATGCTATCCTTGGGACAGTCTGATGATGTCTGAATATTATTGCAGATATACATACATTAACGGAATATCCTGGGGATAACTGATGCTATCTAGGTTTATACATTTTGCAATAAATACTGTAAAATGGAAAAACGATTTCAGTCTATCTGTAAATTATGTTGCAGTGTATAATAGCAATGGAATCCGGCTTTATTCCACCAAACCTCAACTTTACTACACCCAGAAAAGAAATAAAAGGAATTGTAGAAGGTAGGATGAAGGTGGTCGTAGATAAAATGCCATTTGAGGATGATAGGAGCTTGATAGGTAACTTGGCATCAGCAACATTTTTTTTTACTTCAGTAGGTTTATAAATGAGATATTAAGTTACTTATGCTTTTGCATTTGATAAATTCAGGCGTTAGCAGTTTCGGGTTTGGTGGCAGTAACTGTCACGTGCTGCTCAAAAGGAACCCGAAAGAAAAAATTAATAAAGGATTACCGGAAGATAACCTTCCAAGGTTGGTTTGTGTGAGTGGAAGAACAACTGAGGCTGTAAACGCTTTACTGGATGCTGTTTCTCGCAATGGACTGGACGCCGAGTTTGTTGGATTACTACATGAAGGATATAGGTAAATTGTTTGAGAATGTCACTTAAATCCAACAAATCTAATCAGTATGACACTAATTTTTTGGTTTGTAGAAGAAATGTGGAGGATCATTTGTATAGAGGCTACGCAATAGTAACAAAGACAGGAGAGATTAGTAGGTCCTTGAAATGTTCTCCGGGGTCTTGTAAACCCCTTTATATTGTTTTTGGAGAATTGGATAATTGGCGTAACATCGGGCACCAATTGATGGTTTTGCCCACTTTTTCTGCTTTCATTCAAAGGTAATGGCGACAAATATCACGCCAATACGTGGCAAGAGAATATGTTTTTACATTAAACCGTTTTGCTTTGTTCTCTTGGCAGTAAAGCCCTGAAATAATCTTCAAATTTACTAGTGATAAGTTATTATCAATATTGTGACTTTACGCTTTCACTTATTTTGTAGAAAAAATACAATATACAAAATTCGTTTCTTTATACGTTCCGCAAAGGATAAAACCATTACTTTATTGGCGATATTTATCTTTTTAGGTTACAAAATAATCTATCGACTAAAGGAGTCCACATCTGGGATTTGTTACTTAATAGGAGAGTTGCAGAAAAAAATAGCAGTCAAGTGTTGGGCAGTATTGTGGTACAAGCTGGTATAATAGAGGTTCTGAATTTATTATGCATAAAACCAAAGGCTTACCTGAGTTATTCTTTTGGAGGGTTACTTTCTTCATACTGCAATGATCTTCTATCTTTAGAAGAAACTGTTAATTGTGCTTTGGTTATAGATGAGGCTGTAAATAACAACAACAACAACAACAGCAATGAAAAAACGAACATTTTGCAGGTGAGTCACTTGTATTTTGTTATGGCAGTTATTTTCACGTTACTAAAATAATTTGGTTTAGACCTACACTGATCTAGATAGCAATGGTAATGCCAACAGGGATAATTTGCATTCTGCTTTTGATAGCTTGAACTTATATTTGGACTCATCAACGACGAGTAAGTCATAATTAGTTATTTATATTGCCTCTTGACAATACTTTACTGTAGTATTATCTTGTCACACCACCAATAATCAAAACATATCTGTAGATAGACATCTAAGTAGCTATATTATTCGTAACACACTGCCGTGAACTAATAAATTTGACGAATGACCTTAGTTAGCTATTTACTAAATATTGGAGGTGTATAGGGCATATACGTAAAAATTATATTCTAGAGAAAGACCTTATAAATAAATTATCAAATACATTGGCCGATAAAAAAGTATTCAAAGATCAGGGAACAACCGAATGGGCTACAAATTGTGTAAACTCTCTAAGTCAGGACAGATTTCGAGGTACCGAAAAAATGGACTTAGATTCGGTGACCTTTCGAATTGGTAGCGGACCATCAGATACATCCGAGGACCGTCCCATAGTTTCCCTTTTCGACAAAAAAAAAGGGAACTGCCTCATCGAATTAATGGAAACTCTGGGGAGGTACAACGCGGACAGTTTTTACAAAGAATAAAGCTTAATACTTTTTCTTTTAGATTATACGAATTAGGTTGTAATCCGCAAATCAGCAGATTGTATCCCCCGATACAATTTCCAGTAAGCAGAGGGACGGAGATGATTTCCCCATACATCAAATGGCTTCACAGAAGGGAAAAATTCGTTCCACGTTTTGACGTAGAATTAATACGACAGGCTGAACTCGGATGGAAACGCTACCATATTAAATCCGTGGATCACGAATGGGCGTACATTACTGGACACGTCATAGATGGTAAGTTATTTAAATAGACGAGTGACGCAAGTTAATTTTTACGTATTTTAGGTAGAAACCTATTTCCCGCCATGGGATATTTATATCTTGTGTGGGACGCATTTGCAAATATTAGTAAAATATCTTTCCATGACATGCGAATAGTATTCGAAAACTGTAGATTCATGAGGGCTACGACTGTATCCCAAAAACGCCAACTCGTGTTGGAAGTGGTGATTTACCGTGGCACCGGCAATTTTGAAATTGTCGAAGGCAATACGGTAGTCGTTAAAGGAAGGATTTCCCTGTTAGATGACAAAGGATGTTGCTCTACTATACGGGCATTCGATGAACCTCTTTTATCTCATAACACTGATTTTCCCTTGAAAACTAAAGACGTTTATAAGGAACTACGTTTGAGAGGATATAACTACGAGTTAGTCTCTATTTATTATTAACATACTTTAATATAGAATTAGTTGGTGATTTGTATAGAACGTGCAGCATTCGTGAACACAAACCCCTTTAAATAGCCTACTTTTATTTGTATATATTTGTGGTACTGTCCAACGAACAAAAAAATTGATATCTTCGGTTTTTTTTAAACTTTGGGATATTAATGTACTTTGAATTTTACGAGACCCATATTTTTTTGTTTTTCCGAAAGAAAGGACCCCACAATAATCTTATGGAAATTGGGTTTCTGTCAAATTGTCTGAATTTTTGATATGTTGTAGATTTTGTCATCCTGAACAAAAGTCTCCATGGGCACAAAGTGCCAAAATGAACATTTTGGCAGCTACGGAGCTGCCAAAGCTCCCCTGACCCGTTGCAAAACTATTCATTTTCAATACTATTTACAGATGTCAAAAGCATATTTTAATTATTCTAATATATAGGGTAATGTTTTTGAGGTCACTGGATTCAACCCTCATGTCAGATTGGACAAATTGACCGTTGACAGCTGTCAATACACTGTCAACGAAGAATAGAAAAGTAAATATTCTCTTTTCACATTGAGAGTTTGGGCTTTTGAGGGAGCTGAATTCAATTCTCATGCCAGATTGGCAAAATTGACAGTTGACAGCTGTCAATTGACTGTCAACGAGGAATATAAAAGTAAATAT